CTCTCAGCTTAAAACCCAGACCTTGCCCCTTCAACCTACCATTTGTTCCGGTCGGGTCAGAACGCTCTCACTGGAAGATCTTTCACATTAGAACAGGGTATCAAAAATTGGCTCGATTCAAGGCAAGCTATCGCAGTTACTCGTATTGTGAAATTGAGTTCACAAATTGTCAAAGCTCAGCTTGCAACTGATAACCTCCTTCCATCTAGAATGCGTAATAAATAAAATAAAGTAATGTTTCTTATAAACGACCAAAAATAAATTTTTTTTCAGATGCCTGTGTGTGTATGTGTGTTCACAAAACATGAAATTAGTAAGACGTCGAATCAGAAAATCGTGCGGAAATCACCAAAAAAAAAAAAAAACAAAAAAAAAAAAAAAAAAAANAAAAAAAAAAATAGTAAAAACCGAAAACAACGGCAGAAGCAACTGCAGACTACATGCAGCAACACAAACAAACACACAATCAGAAACAACAAAACACAACAGAAACTTGGACACCGTCTCTTTGGGTGTATAAAAAGAGTACTCTGCGTCTGAGGTATCTGCAGCCAAAGTCTTGCCTCCTTTGTTGCTTTACCTTCGTCGCTGCCAAAGTCTTCTAGGTTGATTTAGAAAGTCTGCGCTTCACAACACATTTATCGCGGCGCTGTCGTGTTGGCTAATAGACAGATAGACGTGCAGACTGTATGTTTCGAGGCAAATGCGAAAAAGTGAAGTAGAATAAATAAGCAGCGTTTGGGTTGCATTTCGTGTGGCGAGGTGAAAATTCTTATGAGCTTGCAAAATGCAAATAAGGCACACAAGATGAAGATGGTGTAACTTATTGTCGGTTGTGGTTGTGTTTGTAGGCACAGTGTGTTGAATGGTGTGCAATGGAAAATATTTATTTATCACAAGTTATAAGAAAAATTAGCATATTCATTACTAGAATCAAGTCGTTGCAGGCAAACTTGTTGTGTTTGTAAACGAAGGTTGTTGTGTTGGCTAAATGTAAAGATTGTGGGTTTGGCTAAACGTAAATAAAGGTTGTGGAATGAAAGTAAACAAAAGGATCAGTACACTATAAAATGTAAACAAAGGGGTCATTGACCTCATAAGCTAAAGAAATTACCTCAAAAATGGTAAACAAAGAGGTAAGGTAGTTGTCTTGGCTAAAGTTAACAAAGGCTGTGGGCTTGGCTAAATATAAAGGAAAGGTTCATTGAGCAAATAAAATTTAAACCAAATGGCAAATGGCCCCAAATATAAACGAAAGTTTTTGTCTTGGCTAAATGCAAATAAAAGTTACTGTATTGGATAAACGTAAATAAAGGTTGCGAATTTGGCTAAGTGTAACCTAAAGTGTCATAGACCTTATAGTGTAAGCCAATTAGGTCATTAATGGCAAGTGTTGTCTCAGTTCAACATAAACAAATATTTTGAACTAAATTCAAAATAAGTGTCATTGACCTCGTAAAATGTAAAAAATTGTTACAAAAGTTTTTGTATAGGCTAATTGTAAACAAAGGTTGTGGACTTGGCTATATGTGGACTAAATGTCATTGACCGCATAAAATCTAGAAAACTGTCACCAAAGGTAGAGTAAGGTTATTGTATTGGCTAAATGTAAATAAAGGTTGTGGACTTGGCTACATGTAAATTAAAGTGTAATTGACCATTTAATATAAGCGAGAGGACCCCAACAGTTGTTGCCTCGAGGTTGTGTACTTGGGTAAATTTAATAACCATTGACCCCATGAAATGTAAACAAAAGGGCAATTGACCCCTTAAGGTGTAAGCAAAGTTTCACAAGTCTCCAAGAAACTGTTCATTGCTCGACACCTCTATTTCAGATCACTATACATACTACAGTTACTATATATACTATAGTACTTATAGTTGCAATGGTGAATGGTAGAAATAAAGTCCTTCTTTGTACTTGTAATCATTTGTCTTCCTCAAATCTTTCTAAATAACTTTCCTTGTTTTAAATTTTAATTCAAAATCTTTTACCAAATTTTCAACAAAAGTCTACCGTGCACCGTTGCCTAGCAAACATCGCTCGTATAATTTATTTTTGTTGCCATCATTGCACATTTTTCTCCTACTGTTGCCGCTGTTGCTCTGTTTCAGCCACTTTTTCTACGATTGTAGCTATTTCTGTAGCGTCGCAGCGCCAACTGGCGTTTTTGTTGTTGTTAGTAAATTCTGCGCGAAACTTCATTTAGTTGCTATTGACCACCGTTGCTCTTCTTTATTGACCACACACGCACGTATCGGCGGCCAAGCGCACAATTGAAATGCTTCGACGCGCACAGCTGGTTCAATAGGCCGCCTAAACCGCGCGACTGCAGCGTGTGGCGACTCGGCGTGCATTAATTGTGCATTTGCATTTGCATTTTATCGCACTGTCCGATGCCGATGCTGGCGCTGCATCGCCACACTCGCCACACTCGCCGAGCAACATTAGGCAGACGCTGTCGGACGCGTGTTGAGTAAGCGTTTCGTTGGAGCTTAGCAACCGGCAGCATTTGAAAGAGAAAATCGTCGCTTTGGCAACGGACGAACAAAAAATTTCAAGTTCACTATCATTTTCATATCGGTCGAACGTGATTGGGGCGACTATTATACAGCAACAACGCTTGATATTGTTGTTGTTGCTTTCTGCAGCGATTGATGCGATTAGCGCCGTGGCAAAACTATTCAAATATGGCAGCATGCGCTCACACAAATACACACAAGTATTGGGTGCCAGTTGCCGGACGCTTTGAGCTGGCAGCGAAATGTTGGCGCGTCTAAATACAGCCGCATGCCACACTTTTTCCCACAACGCGCGTATTTTATTCGACACAACAACAACAATAACACCAGTAATTGGTTGTCCGTTGGCTGATCGACTGGTTGCTGGCGACGACGCCGATATTTTCACTTGATTTCGTATGTATTTTAAGCTCCATCCAGCTGCCACTGCTGCCGACGCGCCCACAATATGCTAACTACCAACATTTGCATAATTTTTTATTAGTTATTTGCTTTTCATTACAACGATTCTTGTGGTTTACTTTATTATTTTCATTTATTTAATTTTTTTTTGCTACCTGCAGCAGTTTGATATATTTTTTCTTACTTATAACAGAGAGAGAACTTCACATGTTTGCTTTGGATTTATTATACCCTGAACAGGCCACGATGTTGTAAAGTAGGAAACGTCAGAGGCCTTATAATGTATATTGTATATAAATGATCAACTTGGCGAGCTGTGTTGATTTAGCCGTGTCCGTCCGTCTGCCTGTATATATGGTTCTAGTTTCTCAATTTATAAAATATCAATCTAAAATTTCACATCGGTTTTTTTCTCCTTAAGAAGCTGTTTATATGTAGGTCGGCCCATTATAGTATACAGCTGCCATACAAACTGAACGACAGGAAAATAATGCTGTAAGGAAAGCCTTTTCACTTGACGAGATATCTTTACGAAGTTTGGCATGAGTTAGTGTCTAAGGCAATGATGTGGATAATGAAGAAAATTTTCAGATCATGTCACTATACGAGTATCATTCTTCTTCTTCTTTAGTGGCCTATACAGCGCTTTCGTTCTTCTTTTTCACTGTTTACTTCTCATTGGAGATTCCAAGTGTAGCCCGGACCTGGTCTTTCTCTTCCTCTGAGGCTGATAGAACACAATTCCTCTCCTACTGACCAAAACTGGTCTCTTCCGGATAACTACTTACTTCAGACAGTCGATTTGTTCCAAGTACTTTGCAGAGTGTTGAGAGTTCGACTGTAAGGAAGCAGCTTATATCAATGGATTTTCTGCCAATTTCATCGCAAAAGCTTGCTGACCGTCAATACTGGTTTGTCCACCGGTTGCGCCAGCTCAACATGATTCGACCAATGCCGTTTTCGGTTGCCTAATGTTCTCGTAAATATTCCACTTTTCATCAGCAGTAAAAATCCACTTCAGAATTTGATACATTTTGTTACGAATCAGCAACAATTCGCAGGTAGGACTTCGGTTCGTGAGTGTTTTTTTTTTTTTGCGTTCTTTGTCTAACGTTTAGCTGTTTAGGATTCAAAATGGAAGTTTTTTGGTATAACCATTAACTTTCTAACACCATAAAGAATTTAAACACACTCTACGCCCTCGAAACCTATTTTAGAATATCATACTGTGGGGACCCCAGATGCTTACAGCGTAGTCTTGCCAATGCAGGACAAGTGCACAAGAGATGCTCAATTGCTTCCCTCGTGCCCTGCTCTAGACATTTCCTACAGTCTGCTCGATCTGTCAACCTCATCCTGGGTTTTGATTATCTTTACCATGCTTCTGTCAGGATCGTCGTATAGACGATGTATGGGTTTCCCAATGTTGCTTACGTTTTCGGATGTTAGCCGTACACCATTCTTGGCAATCACGCCCACTATTTCATTGCCCTCGATGTCTTTGTGGCCTGGCACCCAGTAGAAATTAAGTTACTTCTGCCAACACTTTCCACTGCTGCCCTTCTTCCCAAGACTCCTCTGGTCGATATGCGATACGAGGTTACTGCTTTGATTGCTACTTGACAGTCTATGTTGACTCTGGAATTGCCTGTAGATGCTAGCGAGGCCAGCTCCGCGCCTTTTTCAATAGCAAAGACCTCAGCTTGCAATATACTGCAGTGGTCCGCCAACTTAAAAGGTTGCCTTATGCCTAACTCTGGACGGTATATTCGCGCCCCACTGTTCTTCGAGGTATCCGTATAGATGTTTCGAATGTTGACACATAACGATAGAATTTAGTGTCTAAGCAGTTCTCAGCATCCTTCCAAGTTAACATATGTATCTCAAAAGGGTTCGTTAAGATGAGAATTTGAATGTAATTACGAAACAGATTTTGCACTTTTTTTAAGTTTTAACTAGTCTAGTCTATTTTCCACTTTCACTCTCAGCAAGCATTAATATTGTCAAACTTTTTCTTATTGCTACAAATGTATGTATGTACGTATGTATATATTTTTACTTGTCCTGTTGAATTTTGCGCTATTCACGGCAAATGTCGTAATTTCGTTTGTCATATTAATATTTATTAGCTTGGAAGTAGGTGAAAATTTTTAGTTGTAAATGAACTGGAAAATATAAGTGAAACGGGTTAATGTGGAGCAAAATTTTATTGGAAAACCTGGTGATGACAAACAAGCCAGTTGTGTTTATATTGCCATATATATTTTAGGTACCAGTGGTAAATGAAGTGTAAATAATCCAAAGAGTTCACTTATGGTTAGTTTTGGGTAATATTAGGTTAGTGGGTTGAATTGAATACTGGTTTTTGTGGAAACTAGTGGTTAGCGGAATATCTTTGGAGAATACAGGGAAAATTGGATTTATTATTTTTTGACTCGAAATGAATATAAGTAAACGATCAGCTGTTCGAGGTACGACGACTTCAGCGAATTAAGAGACAGCGGCTACGTTGGCTACGTTATGTCGTCCGAATGGATGAAAACACTCCAGTTCTCAGATTATTCGTGGCAGTACCCGTCGGATGAAGCAGAAGAAGAGCCAGACCTCTACTCGTTTGGAAAGACCAGGTGGAGAAAGGCCTGGCTGCACTTGGAATCTGGAATCTCCAATTGGCGCCAAACAGCGATAAGGAAATACGACTGGCTCGACCTTAACCGCATAGGAGATATCTGCGCCAATAAAGAAGAAAACACATGAGTTCGTCTTTTGACTTTAAGTTACTTGGTCACGTAAGGGACCTAGAACGTAAAGAAATTACCGACATTTCATAATAAATATATATACATCATTATATACATATATGCTCCTATTATAGCAAAATGGAATGGGTTAAAGGTGAAAACCAATGTTGCAGCTTTTGGTTAAAAGAAATATATAAATATACATTTACCATATATTTATGCAGGTATATAATATAATGTCAACCAGCATCGCCTGAAATTCTAGTACTTCACAAAATTTTGCGTTTCAGCCCACATGACGGGCAAATTCTATGGAACTGCAGCCAGCACAGTGAGTGGACGATTGAAGATTAGGAAGAAAAACGACTAGACACTTACAGATGTGCTTTCATACATGAGTATGTGTATAGCATGGAAGTTATGAGAGCATCACAGTAACTACTGGTGGGCAGCAGTCAAATGGACGAGCTGACTTGGAAGCAAAGTTGCAGCCAAACGGCGAGTATGTGCTACAGAGTAAGTGTATTGGGAAAAAATGCGTTGACGTTTTTCACTTTCATCCACACACGAAATTGATAGACATATGCACTATCGGCTGTGGGCCTAGCGCGTGATGTGCCAAGCGTCTCGAGTTGAGACGCCGTGGAAAGGCACAAGATCGGTGTCAACGGCGACCGCGCAACGTTTACAATTTATTGCTTTTGTTTTTGGGTGCCCGAATATTTGCGCAAGCATAGATACACACGTACAGGCAGCTGTTGCAGCGAGTGAATGTACAACAATAAAAGCAACAACTGGCAAACGGACAGGAAAACATGCCGCATTCCACAGCTCAGCGCCGCGGAGGACGACTCAATGTGAGTTGTCAAGTATATATGTATGTGTGTGTGTTGGCGCATGCATGCGTGCCTTCAGGCCAATCAACAATATGGAAATTGTTCCTCCTTTTACGCGGTGTTTTGCAGTTTTACTTTTATTTCGTGCTCTGTTTTGGTTTTTTAGAAAAAAATGCGGAAAATTTAGAAAGTGAATATATGATCTCCGCGGAAAGTGAAGATTTATTGGTGAATCGTGAAAAGTGCATGGCGCAGCAGGCGCGGGTGGCAATGCGCGCACTTGCCGGTTACGTGACTGCAGGTTGTTTCGGTAAGGTTTTTTTATTGTTGGTTTTAAAAATAAAAAGCACTATATTGTGTTGCTGTTGCAAGTTTGACGCGATTTGAAAATTTTGGAATATTTAGTGGTGATAAGTAACTGTGATTACAGCATTTTACTTACTTGACCATATCTTGCGAGTTGTCAAAAAAATATATTAATAACATTTAAGTAGTTTTATACACTTAAGGATTACAAAAATCGATATTTTTTTTATTTTTGGATTTCAGATAAATTTAAGCAAAAAACATTTTCCACCGCTTAGCAACTTTTTTCATAGCTCTGCCAGCAGATCGGCCAAGGTATCAACGGAAACCCCATATTTTAAAAATAAATTTATATATTTTTAAAGTACATTAAATTCTGTCAATACACATTATTTTTTGTTTAATTTCTAAAATATATATTATAAAAAAATGTTTCTTCCAAAAAATTGACATAAACGATTTTCCTCAAACTTGCAAAAGTATATACTCATGTACATATGTATGCAACTCCTAAATTTATAAATATTTTTCCATAAAATAAATTTGCACACTTAAATTTAAACATTTAACGCCAGCAATTTGTTTCAAAAGCAACCCTGCGATTCATACTGTACGTTCAATCAAAACCGACAGCAAATTAATTGCATGCATTTAGGCTGAACAGTTAAGGCAATAATTACCAATTTTTTATTATTAAAGACGCTGGCACTTTATTGAAACTCTACAGCAAGCATAGAATTAATATTTACTAAGTAATTTTGTATATAACAATTGTAATTGTGTAATAACCAATTCAAAACTATCTCATACAACAGATACTTTTGCGCAATTTTGTCTTTCTCACTCTTTCTCCTTCTCACAATTTACACCGTTGGCAACGCTACGAAAATTTCAGCGAAAAGAGACCAGGGTGTCCCTTTCTGACTGCAAAGCTGTCGAAAATTCAGTCTTGTTTTAGCGGCTGAGCAAGTGTGAACGGCGTGGCAAATGCGCGAGTAGTGCAATTTTAAAACGAATGTGCGAAGAAGAAAACTAAGAAAAGAGACCAAATTGAAGCTTTTTCCTTTCATCAAGTTTCAACGAGGTAAATATGCGTTACGGCATCCAAATTGCGCTAAATCGAAAGTTTCGCACATAATTTTAATAAAATGTTGTATAAGTGTCGCTATCAAGCCTCTTGAAAAAGTTATGTGTGGTGCATTTTTTCTTCATAGTGCTAGTTACCTGTAAGTGAAGCAGAGAAAAAATTATGTTTTTCGTTTCTCTGGTGTAGGCATCCGCCATATTGCTTTTCTTGTCTATTCGTCGTCGGGCGCACTGCTCGCTCTACCCAACTGTACGAGTACGAGTGCTGCCGCTTCTGCTGATGTACGACGACGGCAATAACGAGATCGACGAACGGCTGCCCTCATATAAATCGAGTTGAAGTGGCGTGGAAGAAAAAAGGAAATTTCTTGCTTACTGTCGCCTGCTCGCACGTAGTCTACTGCGTTGCTGGAATTTGTTAGAAAAAGAAAAAACAATAATAAAGGTGAAATATTTGTACACAAACCGCCAAAAACAAGATAGAAGAGTAAGATCAAAACAAAAGTGTTTATAATCATCATAAATTGTAGTTAATTGCATAGAAAATGAAGGCGCAAATTATAGTTCGTGTACTTTCTATGCTAATATATGTATTAGTACATACATGTGTGCCTAGTTCGTGTATTCGGATTTGCTCGAACAGCAATTGATTTATGCAATGGTGTGCGAAAGTAGACAATACGTAGAAAAGTGGCATAAGAAATTAGTGAACAAGTGTATGAATGATAGTAAACTGAACAAAAACAAATTAAAACTATTTTCCACTAAATATCGGCGTTTCTTACAATCAATGACCCCCACTAGTGCGGGCTTGATAATACAATGCAACATGTAGAATTAGAAGAGTACCCGCTACATAAATCATGCATATGTAGGTGTGCCTGCTTGTCGTACAGTTGAAAAATTGTTGCTCTTCATAGTCATCATAGACTTCATAAATTTATCAATGCTCCCACATGGATATTTTCTCAATCATCTCATATTGCACTTTACTTTCGTTCGCTATTCCTCTCGGGTGCATTCAATGCTTCTCGCTTGTTTCTACTATCTTTAATTAACGTTTTTTCTTTCAGCCATTCTCTTCAAAATAGCTTGCAAGAGGATTCATTGCACCTTTGCCATGTACTTTCCTATATTCATATTGTTGTCTTCGTTGTGTAAACGTCCAACGAAGAGATTTTGTAACGAGTGAGAGACTGCTCAACGAGTAGAGGGTAGCGCCATGCAGCTTGCCTTTTCTCGCCCTTATATAGCGTTGCCAGAATTTTTAGCTGATTTTGTTTTGCGCAATTTTTAATGCTTTTAGTCTGTTCTATGGAAGCAAGTGTGTTGAAAAAGTACGACTATGTATTTTGAGTTTTTAAAAACAACTTTATGCCAAAGATGTAAACAAATCTCTTGGGTTGGTGAACTATGAAAGTTCCAAAATATTTGGCGCGCAAATACCCAATTGGGATAGTATATGGAATAACGTAATTAATGATGATGCTTATTTTTTTTACTTTATTTACAGTTTAGTACGTTTTAATCGCTCCGATGATGGAGGATCTGACAAAGAATATAATATTCACTACGAATGCAATAGGCGCCAATGGGCAGCCTACTACTATACAATACCAAACAGCTGATGGCACCATTTTAAAACAGCCGAAAATAGAGGGACAGAAGGAGCAGCCCACATTCTATTATACTACCACAAATGTAATTAATTATTCAATATTAACCATAATTCTAGTAGTTTTATAATTAACATTTTGATGCTTTTGCAGGGAGGCGCAGCTACCACAGTTAATTTGGCACAACTTACCACTGATGACAACAAAACGTGCTACATAGCGCAACCCGTTGGTGGTTACAACTATGCCCTTGTGAATGGCATGCAACTAAATCAAGGTAGCACCATCGGTATTGCCACATTGGATGCACAGGGACGTTTGCAGATTGTAAACCAAAACAAACCAATTGCAGCAGTAAGCACATACATAAGTCAATTAAATTCATTTCTATAACCTCCATTATTCGCTAGTCTTTACAGGCCATCTCGCCCATGCCAAATACCATCTCAAACATCAGTTTCAAATGCGATGTGTGCGGTTTAATGTTTTCACATTTGGCGCTATTGAATCACCATAAACGTATACACACGCAGGACGGTAGTGATCAACAACAGGGTCAACCGGAAACCATAGTTGTGAATGCGCAAGGATTAGTGCAGACACAAAATATAATCACAGAAAATGGCCAAATGGGCCAGATACAAATTGTGGCCACAGAAGCTTTGGAACCGGCCACAACTGTCTTGCAACAGCAACAACAACAACAGCAGCAACATAACGCAGTAGTCACAAATGTCACCACGCAGAATACCGGCAATGAATTAGCCGTCAATACAACCAACATCGCTGGCTTAAAATCCGTTAAACTCACACAATCAAAATGTATAACATGTGGCAATCAAATGTTGCAGCCAGCTAAACGCAAAGGACCAAAGCTGGTGCGTTGCGAGGATTGTATACGTGCCGACCAAGAGATTCACGCACCACAAGGCATCACACCCACGCAAATTTTCGTTGCACAAGATGGTGATATAAAATGTGAATTAAATGAATTTGTAACTGGCGGTAGTGCGGATTCCTCGCCAATGGACACGCTTTCAGGTCAAGGTGGGATGCTAACACATCACCAGTTGCAACCAGTGCAGGTGGTTACAGCTAGTTCACCAGAGTCACATCAACAACAAAGCAGCCAACAGCCGCAAAATATTGCGCCGAAGCAAGAACAAACAGGCGGACAGTCAACTGCGGTCAATAATCATCCAGTGAAGAAACGCAATCAACAGCAAGTGACCAAATGTCAAAAGTGCAATGGATCTGGTGTGGTGTTTGTGGGATCAGGCACGCCGGCCACCAAACAGCAGGCTGTCAATGTAAAAGCAGAGTGAGCACATCTTAAAATCCTTTATATTAATAATACTATAACAGTATTTCGTTCTTCCACATGCAGAAATCCCAAGCCGTTTACATGCAACATTTGTGGCGGCACCTTTTCGCGTTACTCGAGTCTGTGGTCCCATAAAAAACTACACAGCGGCGAAAAGAATTACAAGTGCACAATTTGTGGATTGGCTTTTGCAAAGGCGGTCTACTTGAAAAACCACGCAAGGATACACACCGGCGAAAAGCCTTACAAGTACGTACCATTTATATATATATATTTGTGTACAAAAACAACAATTACTAACAACTATTTCTTCTTTTATTCCGCAGATGTCAAACATGTGGCATGCAGTTTTCACAATCGCCACATCTCAAGAACCACGAGCGCACGCACAGCGGCGAACGGCCATATGTCTGCGAAGTTTGTGATAAAGGCTTCGCGCGTCACGCCACCTTATGGAACCACCGGCGCATACATACCGGTGAGAAACCCTATAAGTGTGATATCTGCGGCTCGGCATTCTCACAGGCTGCACATTTGAAGAATCACGCAAAAGTGCACTCCGGCGAAAAACCATTCCGTTGCGATATCTGTTCGGCGGCGTTTGCCGATCGCTTTGCGCTCAAGCGGCATAGAGGCATTCATCAGAAATATGGTTAGTTAATATACAATATCATATTATCTGTATTGAAGTAAAATAGTGTTAACGGTACTGAAATGTGTATTTATATTTGTAGGGCAAACTGCACCGCGACAACCAGCGCAGACGCAACAACAACAGTCTATGACCACCGACGGGCAAAATGTCATGATACATAAACAGGAAATACCCGAAATGGATGACGACGCACAGCAAGAGGTGATCATATCTGGCTTATAGACAAAAGCGGCAACAGCAACAGTTGCCACAAACGCAATTATTGCTGCGCAACGGTATCAATTACACGCGACAACCACTTCCGCTACCCCCACTTTAACGGCGACAACGACAGCGAGTAACAAGTTGCAACAACCACCAGCATCAAAAATGCAACAACAACAAAAAACAACGTTACCAACACAAACGCAACAGCAAACTGCAGTTGGTGTTACAACAACTGTAACGGCCAACATCAACAGCCAACAGCACCAGATAACACAACTTCAAACACAACCGCAACAACAGCAGCCGCAAACTCAAACACACATGAGTCAACAGCACTACACTACCACATATTTGCATGATACCAATAATACGGCTGCAGGTGCGACAACAACAATAGTGCGTCCACCAATGCAAACTGTCAGCTACTATTACCAGCAGCACACGGCAACAGGTGAAATAATTGTTGCTGCAACGCCCTCTACTTCGGGCAATGTGTATCCACATGCATAGAAGAGTTACCAAGCTAAAGGCCGTTAAAGGCGCTTGGACGTTATTGTAGTTATTGTTGTCTTCATTTTATTGTTGTTTTTTAAGCAGTGGTTGCAATAGTAGGTTTCACATGTGCTTGAAGCACACATGCAATCTACGATTTGTAATTTTGTTAACAGTGCAGCAAACTTTTCCAACTCTTTTATATATTAGTGATTCTTAATAAACTCAGTTGGATACTTGTAATTATCAAATATTTAATATTTGTAACTACACTTGTTTTATGCGCACCGTTTGCGTTTCGGCTTTGTCTAAAACACTTTTGCGCTAGCGATTTTTCTTGGTTTCATGTGCCACAAAAAGCAACTCAAGCAATTCGAATTCGATTACGCGCCGTTTAATAACTGATTTTTAGGCGTCTTGAGTTCGCAAGAAATCGTCACTATTGTTATTCTGCTAAGAAAAATTGCTGCAACTCTACTAAGTAAACTTTGTTAGTTCGCCTATATTCGAACACTTTTATAGTTTCGGTTAATATTCCCACTGACTTCCAACCGTTTTCTTCGCGTTGTGTAATTTTATCTAACTGCTCAACAATCTTGCGACCGGATCAGCGTGGATAGTTGATTACGTTTATTTTAATTTTATATATGCATATATATTTTAAGTGTACACATAAATAATTATTATATTTCTATTAATTAGTCTAAACAAATACAATTTTTTAAAATAATAAATACATACCAATAATAAATTAAAAAATGATTATAAAATATAAATTTAAAAATGCAATATTCGCACTTTTGGCGTGTTCGAGTGTAACGTATTCGTAAATTATTATTATTAGAATTTAGTCATCGCAAGAAGTAAAAAAAAAATAATATACGACTGTATATTAGCGAAAAATGTTGCACGAATATATGGGCATAAATAAATATATTTAAAATGATATTAATATTAGCGATTTAATACTTAAATAAGCTAATTTGAAATCAAAAATACGTACGAAACAATAAAAGAGAATTTTTAGAAAATAAACGAAAAAGTGGGATTTTTTTTTATAAAAATAATTTAAAAAAAAAATGTTTGTGTTTTTAGAAATTAAACAAAAAATATGGTTTTCGTAAAAATTAAGTAAACTAAAAAAAATTAAAAAATAAACAAAATATCTGTCTCTTATACACATCTAGATGTGTATAAGAGACAGGAAATACATTTAAAGCAGATTTTATGTAAATATTTTTAAATTAATTTTTTTTTATAAAAATAATAAAATCTGGAACGAGAAGCAATAGGAAGCCAATTTTTTTACTTGTAGACGAGCAGCTTAGAATCTGTCTCTTATACACATCTTAGTAAATTATTTTCAATAATTTTTTTGTGATCAAAATTAAGAAAAACAAAAAAAAAATTAAAACGATACTTTTTTGCTGTTAAAATGAGGCAAAAAAAAATGTTTTGCTATTTTTTTAAACTTTACAAATTAATTTTTTTGTTGTGAAAAGTAAGAAAAAAATTTTTTTTTCCAGAAATAAAAACAAAAAAAAAAGGAAATTCTATTTTTCGTTCCAAAAATTAAAAATTAGGAAACTATATGTTTTATCGTTTTTGTTGTTGTGAAATTTTAGCAAAAAAATATGATTTTCAGTTATTTTGTTTTTTCAAACATTTTTGTTCTTTTGCAAACTCAAATTTTTTTTCCGAAAATTAAAATATAACATAACATATATAATATATTTTTTGTAGTAAAGATTAAGAAAAAATATTGAAAATAATATTTTTGTGGTGGAATTTAAAAAAAAAAAATTAGAAAAGTATATTTTTTGTTGCGAAATTGTGTTTGTTTAATTATTTAATCTTTACAAATTAAAACCATTTTTATTTTCACTCTACGTAACTACATAACCACATTATTGCAATTGCTTTATCAATAATTTCACTGCCCAAACTAAATTAATTTCTAATGCTAAAAAAGCTATTTCGAAATGCTAACACTAAACCATGAACCATGCTTCAATTATATACAGGTTGTGCCAACTAAAAAAAGAAGCAATTTGTCAAAAGTATTTTAATCCATAATGTCAAAATCAGCTGGTCACAGAGAAAGTTCGTTTTTATAAAATTGAAATGATTAATTTTAAAGTTGTGATTTGATGTGATTTTTAAAAACAATTTTTTTATTTGTTATTTATTTATTAATTTTTTATTTATTTATTTATTTTTAACTTTTCCTTTTTTATATTTGTGTATATTTTTTAATTTTATTTTTTGTTAATATCTGTCAGCTTTCAGTTTATTACTTCTTTGTGAGAGTAACTTGCATTCTTGTTCTTCCAGAAAGCTTGTAGCTATAAAACAAACCATTTATAATTCAAAAAAAATTATTTTAAAACATTCACACCGATATTCTTTGAGTGATAACTGCATACGAAAATACTGTAAATCACACAAAATCATCAAACTGAGAAAAAATAAATTCATGAGAAAAAAAATATAAAACTCATTTGGATGGTTTCGATGACAAGTAACCCGAACCCTACCACCTAAGCAGACATTAAATAACCGCTACAACAACATCAACCAGAAAATAAAAGATTTTTGTGATTATGAATTAAAATTATATTTTCATATGTACTATATATTTTTATAAATTATAATTTATTATATTTTATATAAAAACTGTAAGAGAAGGCACGCTCCGAAGTACCACAACCTGTCTATACTGAATCATATAACTGAAATTTAAATCAAAATCGCATATTCATGTTTATTTTTGCTACCATTATTTTTAATAACCTCAAATATTATTATTATTTTTATATATTCCAAATTTTTAACTTTCGTACTAATTGTTTTTACTCATTTCATTGTTATTTGTTGATAACTTTTATTCAAAGTTTTGCAGATATTTTAAAAAATATTAATTTTTTTTAAGTAATTTTAATTTTTAAAACAATTTTTATTTTTCTACTCTCTTTTCTTTTTTCATTTCTTTTCATTTTAAATTTTTATTATTAATATTCCTTCTTCATTTCCGAAATATTTCCCATTTTTAGCAATTGCGATTTGTTTACTGCAATCGATTACATAACATAACCTCAAATAATGCTTTCGCAAATAAGCTTTCACTGCAAGTATTTGAAACTTTTGCCCTTTTGATTTGTGTAATGCTAAAAATATGTTTATTTTTTTTTCAAGTTTGGGAAGAAAATCAAAATAATTATTCCCTAGAATATATTGAAAATACATACATATGTACATTAAGTTCATCGACACCACTTTACAAAAAATGGTAAGTACAAACAGAATTTTTTAATTTACCATCACAAAGACAATAAAATGCCAAAAAAATACGTTCCAAAACGTGCAGACGATCTGATTACTATAAGATTAATAAGTTTTTACACACAAATTTGCATTATGAAATAGTAAAGATTTGTTGTTGTAGTATTCAGTTTTCCATTAAAGTTTTTAATATTCAGAAGGTATCGTCGGATACTGTATAAAGTATATATATACGTGACGAACTGAGTCCATTTAGCCATGTTCTTCTGTCTGCCTGCATACATTAGGCCAAAGTAACCGAAAATTGTAAATAGAACGCAAAATATTTTAGTTATTCATCAATATTTATTTTGTCGTCTTCAAAGTAACTTCCAATAGATTTAGTACACTTATGCCAACGATTTTTCCAATTCTCGAAACACTTTTCATAAGCACTTTTTGAATCTTATCGTCCGATAACTCTCCTCTCCCCAGTAGTGAAGACACTTGAAGCCTTTTTACTCCCGACCTTCACTCACCACCTGAGCCTAGCCAGCCACCAGCATGGATTCCGTAAAATGCACAGTACCACCACAGCACTCAGCGTCATAAACGCTCAAAGAGTTCGTGGCCTCAACCAGAAACCACCCTGTGAGAGAACGCTCCTCGTAGCGTTGGACCTGTCAAAAGCTTTTGACACGGTCAACCTCACAACAAATTCTAACTGTCAATAACCCTAAGATTTTATTTGTCACCTTCGACAGTCTATGCTCCTTCTCTCCACATACGACCACGATTATCGCCAAAGTACAGAGCCGCAACAAAATCCTCAAGTCGCTAGCCGGCAGCACATGRGGAAAAGACAAAGAAACGTTGTTGGCAATTTACAAGGCAATCGGCCGGCCGGTCCTTAACTATGCAGCACCCATATGGTCGCCTGGATGCAGTGGCACGCAGATGAGGAAACTGCAGACCTGCCGGAATGCAGCACTCCGGTTCACGACGGAATGCCTCTTGATGTCTCCCATCGAACACCTACATAGTGAGACGCTTATGCTCCCAGTTAAGGAACATAATGAACTCCTCTCCAAGCAGTTCCTGCTGGGATGTTTTCGTAGAAATAATCCTCACCCCCTGATAACCCTCACCATCCCAACGGGGACTGATAACCGTTAAAACAACAGCAACAGGGCAGCGATTTTTTTTTTTATCTCTTCGCTCTGCTGAAAACGGGAATTTCAGTTTGGGGAACATGAAAAAATCACACGGACCCAAATCTGGTGAATACGATGATTGATCGAGGGTTTTTGGCTTTAAATTTGCTCACAATCTTAACTCGATGCGACGGTGCATTATCATCATGTAGAATCCACGAATTGTTCCTCCACAATTCCGGCCGTTTTCGAAAAATGCTCTCGCGATGCACTAAACCACGAAATTATTTGTTTGATATTTTTATCCATTGCAAAATGCGAAACGCACTTCTGTGGTGTACTACTATATAGACTGATTGATAAAAACCTACCCATGTCTGGAAAACTTTTTTATTCGACAGAATATTTTCACATAATTTGGCATCGAATATTGAGAACTCAATCATGTGGCTACCACACAAACTGACCTATCAAAATCAAGATAAATATTTTTTCATAAGTAGTGTAGTTGCTATAAGAAAGACATCTTTCAACATGTTGCTACAGAGAAAATAGTTAAGGTTACCTATAGAGTTGTATATTTACAAATGATCAGGATGATGATCCGAGTGGACGAGTGTATGTCTGTCCATCTGTCTATCTGTCTGCGCAAGTGAAAACTTCAGTAAAAATTTAGATATAGCAATGAAACTTGAAATTGGACAATGGGAATGGTACTGCTCTCTTTTAGGTGAAATCACATATCTCGTAACCAGCTCGAACGGTTTCACGGTGCGAAAATGGGTGAAATCAGATTACCTACAACCACACCTATTTCACATATAACAAAATTTTAAATTCCATTCGTTTCTTTCACTTTTCGGTGTACAAATCCAGAAACAATTAATTTAACGAGATAAAACTTGAAACGAATGGTGCCTAAAAATAGTTCCTCTTATGCCCAGAAATTATCGAAAATTCAGTTTAAGCCCCTAAGTACTGAATATTTGGATTCCAGTACCTATAGTTGACTTTTTGAAAACAATATCGGTCAATCTGTCAGATGTTTTATAGAAACTTAGAGAACATTTTTAAAATCAAGTTTTGCCTATACCTGAAGATATTTCGCCGGCTTTGATTCTGGCAGCTTGCAAGAGTATGACATGTTTGGTTACATCCGAACTTTGGCCCTTCTTACATGTTTTTAATTTTTAATGATTTTTTTTGTCCTTTTTTAATATGTCTTTTATGTTATGAATATATATTTTT